CCTCTGAATCAATTACTTGCACCCAAGAGTGACCAGCTTTTGATTTCTTCTTACAACATCACCTGAATGAACCATTCAGGTCGTAAGAATAGAGAAAATGATCACTGAGTAATGCTGCTCTTGATTGTTAAACAAATTCTCCTTGTCAGCACCTTAAGAAATGTAGAGAGAACAGTATGGAGAATATGCACGCTGATGTTAGGGTGAAGAATGTAAACCTTTAGTTCGACCCAGTAACTGCACTTTGCCAATGAATGGAACAACAAAGATAAAAATTTTTTACGTCCAGGACATCCCCCGTCTGAACGACAACTCGATGGATTTTACCGAATACACTGATTTGATTTTTCAGTCTATCTCACCTCGGCAATCGTGATAACATCAGGATAAATTGTATGCAGCATGTCATTGGCTAACATGAGGTAGATAAGTGACTCCGTATCTACTCCAAGTCCAAAATAATCCGGATAATCTCCACCAAATCCATGTCCCATTCCGTGGTCGTGGTAAATCATTGACGTAACACCATCAAACCGGAAGCCATCGAAATGGTAATATTCCATGTACCAGCGAAGGTTGGACAGAAGGAATCGGAGCACCTCCCACCTGAATAAACAGATTGTTCAAATCATTTAACAGTTTGTTCAAACGTCAGTGAACGTTCATCGAGATGAGAAGCGCGCGGAAAGTTTAGGAAGCACACATCCGTGCAAGCGAGAAATACGCCATAGAGAAGAGTATACAACATAAAGAAAGAAAAAGTTATTCACTGTAAAAAAAAAAAGCGGTTAGGTCTACTCACTGAGTGTAGTCGAACAGTCGACTGTCCCACAATGAATGAAATCCACGACCGCTCCCATGGAAATAGCAGCTTTGTGATCCATCAAATTCGTTCAAGCCATCCATTACATTCTTCGCGGCATGACTGTGCACCACATCTAGTAGTACTAAAATGCCGTTACCGTGTGCTACATCTATGAGTTCTTTCAACTCCTCTGGCGTACCATAACGGCTAAAAAAGAACCAAAATATGAATGGCATTGCGGATCCTAGAGAGGTGTCAGGGTGTTCACTAAAAAAATTCTAATATCTTTCTTAAAGATTATTCGTTGTTACAAAATACTGGATGCAAGGTTCACGCGCATTTTTTTTAATTCCTTCTCAGCCACTCTGCCTATCAACAAGTCTTATCAGTACAGTCGAACCTAGATTATGCGGACTCCTTGGGACTTGGGTAAATGGTCCGAACAATCGAGACTATCCGGATAATCGAAAATATGATGATTAATGAAACAATT